GTAGTAGTAGTAGTAGTAGTAGTAGTAGTAGTAGTAGTAGTAGTAGTAGTAGTGGTAGTAGTAGTAGTAGTAGGTAGTAGTAGTAGTAGTAGTAGTAGCAGTAGTAGTAGTAGGTAGTCGGTAGTCGGTAGTAGGTAGTAGGTAGTAGGTAGTAGGTAGTAGTAGGAGTAGCAGTAGTAGTAGTAGTAGTAGTAGTGGTAGTTGTAGTTTGGTATCGTTTTTGATATCGGTCTAAACCTATAGTTGTTTCGGATCAAAGAAAGAGCAAGGAAAATGAGCAAGAAGAAAAGGGAACTGTACGAAAAAAAGACCTTGGACATGCGCTGTGTCGAGTGTCAACAGTGTCAACAGTCTAAATAGGCAAAGATAGATTCCAAGATGTGCACCGTCACAGCTATGGTCCTTTACTCTAAGCCCGACCTCAGATTCTGCTAATGGAACTTAAGAACCGCAGGGTGCCCAGCCGCCCAGCCCAAATTCTGGAAGGTGTCCTCGTGAGTGATCGGCTGGCCCATGAAGAAGTGCTGCTCCAAGACTGAGCGAAAAACGCAAAGTGCTGCTCAGATTTAATTTACCACTTCTTCCTGAGTTTAGTAAGTAGAGATTTCCAGAGTGCTTGCGTAGTGTTCCACCCATGAATTTCTGGCTGACACAGGGACGTGGGCAATATAAACGCATCTCATACAAAGAACAAAGTCCAATAGCAAAGGTTTGGGTTCAGCCAGTCATGGAATAAGCAGCTGACTGTGCTCGGACTGAGTACACTCCAGGAAACTTTGACCTAGGGAGCAACGCAGGACAACTGTATAACGTAAACCTCGTTCAACAACCCTCAATTTTTGGCCTCCTCTTCTTTTTCTTCCTCCCTCCTCCTCGTCTGCATTAATGATATTTCATGTCACGTCATGCTATGTTTGGGGGGTCGGGGGGTGACACGGGCGGGTGAGGGGGAAAGGCCGAGATGAAGTTCGGTGTAGAATTTCTCGGTTTTGCGCAAAGCAAACTCAGAAGCTACTAGGAACAAGTGCATCGCTTCTAGTAACAAGTGCCTTACTAGTAGTAACAATGTTTGCTAGTAGTAACAAGAATATTAGGGCAGAGGGCCGAGAGCGCCTTCTTGTTTTAATAGCTTCTTGTTACTACTAGTAAGGCACCTGTTACTACTAGCGATGCGCCTGTTACTACTAGCGGTTTTGCGCAAAGCAAACTCACACGGTTTTGTGTTCGAGACTTGTTCGAGGCCTGTTTAGCACGGCCAAGACAGGGTGTGGCGCATTCCACATGCCACGGGCTGCCACAGGGTTGAAGAAGTTGGCGCCTCTCGTTTCTCGTCGCTCCCGGGCGACTTTGGGCTTTCGACTTTTTTTGCGTTTTTGGATTCCGGGACGTGAAAATGGGCGCGGATGACACGCGCAGGGGGCCTTGGGCCTTTTCCGTGGCAAGCAAAGTTTGCGAGAAAACATGACAGGTGCGTTCTCATGGTGAAGACAAAGTTGCGGTTTTGATTTTGCCAAATACAGGCGCGCTGTTGTTGCAAACATCTCGAAAGCCGAAACGGTATGGCTCTCAGTAAGTGTTCCCCTCCAAAGCAGCGCGAAATCGACCGCGCACACATTTCTCTCCACGAAATGAGGCTTCATGGCGATTTAGATTGAAGAAAGCCAATGGTGAAGAGCAAATACAAAGGATACCCTCAGCCTCAATAAAACAAACCTGACAGGGATTTGACCAAGCAAACTAAAAACATCATACAGTGTTATCTCCTTTTGGCATCCAAACGCAGGCGCTGTCGTTGCAGCTGGTGTCTCCACAAACTTGGCACCATAATTTGAATCCTCAGGAAACATCTTCCCACTCTACACAAGAGAACTGCCAGAATCATGCTGAGTTCTATATCTTTGTTTTTTCTAATTTTCTTGCTTTCTTTATTCACTCTATATATGTGGTTCCTTTCAGAATGTTGTTGCAGAATCAATTGAAACCTCTGGGTCCCTATCCCAGGCCGCTTGATGTCACTCAAAAATGGCAATCTTGCATTGCTATTGGCTTGCCTGAGGCTGGCGACAGGCAGCGTGATACTCAGGGTCCTCGCGATGCATTGCTACAAAACCACCACGCAAAGAGCAAAGCCTTCAAAAAACCACAAGGGCCCTGAGAATGGCCTGCTGCTTTGGAATTGCTGCGCGTTCACTCGCTGCACGCTTCTTGAGACAAGAATCTTCAAACCTTGTTGATGAAGTCATGAAGGGGGAGAAGAAAAACATGCAGACTTCTGCACCATCCAGGGTAAGGGTACCGAATGCAACGCATGAGCGTCACCAATACTACCCAAGAGCAAAAGGCGTGAGGGCGCTGTGGCCGTGTAGCGCAGGAAGAACTTTCTGGGAGTTTTGTGCTACATAGTAACAAGAAGCTTCTGGTAACAAGTGCCACGCTAGTAGTAACAGGTGCCTTACTAGTAGTAACAAGAAGCTATTAATTGCATACCTACTCTGTCACACCGAGCGGTGAAAATATGTCTACGTGGCCGTGCCATGCGGTTTTGCGCCTCGGTTTGGTGGAAAGTGCGTTTGCGCACGTCCGTGCCATTGGGGGGGGAAGCACGCTGCCCGAAAACGGGAAGTCTGTAGTCTCTAGGCGCGCTAGCTAGATCTTTGGGGCTACTAGTAAGCCAGAAGCGGCTTTCCGTACTACATGTGTGCGACAATGTTGCCACAGCTCCCAGAAGCTTCTTCCTGCGCTACACTTGCACTGCAGTTTCATTTGCTCCCGAAGGCTCCTGCGAAGGGTTCTCCAAAGAACAAATACCCCCTCTTCTAATTCATCTATGTCTACCTCGTCGGCGCCTGTTTCAACATCATCACCATTGTCATCATCATCTTTCACCAATCACCCTCCCCATCACCATGACCATCATCATAGCATTCTTCCGTTGCATGCATTCCATTCACTCTGCCCATTCATTCCATTCTTTTCCGTTCCAGCCCAGTCCAGCCCACTCCGTTCCTTCCATTGTTCATGAATTCATACGTTCCTTTCAGCTCTTTCCATTTCATTCTGTTCAGCTTTCAGCGCCGCAAGCAGTTGTCTGGTTGCGTGGTCTGAGTTGTGAGATTTACGTCGCATTGGTCACCTTAGTGGACGCAAAGATGCGGCCAACTATCTAAACTTCAAAAAGAACAACTGGATACCAATGAAATGGCGCTTTCGTTCCATTCGCTTTTCCATTTTGAGATGAAACCCGAAAAGCTGTGATCATTCGAGAGGGGGCTCACCCACCACAAACTACCCCCAAGCACCAACCACGCAAAACCGTGCCTTCATTCTAATCCGCACACTGGTCATAGCACCGTGAACTTTGGCCACGCCAAGTCGGTGAAAACTCAATTTCTTCGATCCTTGGTAAAACAGCAATTGCAGCCACACTATATCAATAAAGGAAATAAGGCAGTCATGGAGCCAGAAAATCAGTTGTTTTGCGGAATCCAACTCGGGTATGTTTCGAGCAAGTCGAACACCCATGCCCATCTAACAATGGAGCCCCTCAAAAAAACAAGGACCGACTTAAGGTTTCACATGACACAGCCAACCAGGTAGGGAGATACCGCAGCAACCACAGTCATCTGCAACGCGAATGCATTTGTTTTACCACTGTACTTCCTGCTTATTTGGACTTTGTAGCTGTTGACCTGCGTGCTTTGTAACAGCTTTGCAGCAAGTGACCTTGCCACTTGCATTTGCTCATCCATGCTCGTCCCATGAGGGGGACGACCATGAAGGTGAGCCAACCGAAACAAAAAAGGGTGGTGAGGTTTGCATTAGTCAGTCCAGTCCTGTCTTGTCCATTGTTTGAATCAATGCTCCAGCCCTCAAGCGACGGCCCCCCCCCACAGATTGTGTAAGCAAGTCCAACCCCGGACTCTCGGCTTCGGTGGGTTCAGACTCGGATCTCCCCTACTGACGAGGAATGTTTACTGAAGTTCTCAGGCAAACACCACCTTTCCAAGAACGGCTTCAATGCCTTCCCAAGAGCTGATACGGCTGATAAGCCCGAGAACACGAAGTCTCGGGGTGTGTTCGCTGGATCGAATGTCTTTGGTCCCTCGGTTCTATGATCTGGTTCAACGAACACCGGCCTTGGTTGGTGGGCATTCGGTAGGATGGTGCCCAAGGCATCACACCCATGGTAGAAACCAAACTGCCTTTCTGGTTTTAGGCTCATGTGGTAGCATTGGTGACCCTATGGTGCACAAGTCTGCATGACTTTATTCTACTACCAATGAAATCCAATGAACCTGAAAGGACAAACAAACACTTAAAGCTCGAACCAACAAGCTAGTTCGGTTGTGAAAGAAATGTGCAATGTCGCCCTGGCTCCTCCAGAGCATCAGCCAACCCCACATTGTCCATGGCAGAGGGTCCAGCTGGATACAACTTCTTGCCTTAAGATGCCTTAAGAGGGAAACTCCTATAGCAAAATCGCAGTTTAGGCTAAAGCCACAAGAAGGTGCTTTTGCAAGGGAACTATAGCTTAATTAGTAGCGTTTTCGCACTCTGTAATCAGTCCCTCTCAGTTCCACAGGCTGTCTTGGCAACCCTTGTCGGCCACCGTTGCACAAAAATCATGCCAGCGTAAGAGTTTGAGGGTGGCTCTATACTTTGACAGCTCCAGCTGGGACATAGGTACACTGAGCCACTTCTACACCTTGTCTTCCTGATTCAGCAATATAAGCTGTGCGTGTGATGCTTTGTTTGAGTCTGAAAAATTAGCATTTCCACACTCTGTCTTTCTTTCTCTCCAACAGCTTGAAGGCAAACATGCACTGGACGCCATGAAAAAAGGAGATGCATGGCGCATGGAATATTGAAATCTGATAGGACTTAAGATTTACTTCGGTTCCAAAGGACTTCTCTTCCGTTCTTTTTCGACTTCGCTTTCCACCTGGCTTTCCGCTTTCAGCTCATTGGCTCACCCCTCCCTCGGCCCCTCGCCATCGCACCGTGAACTCGGACCCGTCGACCCGTCGACCCGTCGACCCGTCTCGCACTCGACAGGTCCCTTCGACCGTCTCAGCATCTTGTCTCTCATCACCTGAGTCGAGTGATGGCCCAAAGGTCAACGGGCAGAAAGAACAAGAAACTTAATTAGATGAGTGCATCGCTTCTAGTAACAAGTGCTTTACTAGTAGTAACAAGAAGCTAGTAGGAACAAGTGCCACGCTAGTAACAGGTGCCTTACTAACAAGAAACTTAATTAAATGATGATACGAAAGGATTCCGAAAGGTCAGGTCTGGTTACCGAGTCCAAGACGTTTTCACCTTTCTCGCTTCCTCAGAAAGGCTGTCGTCTCTTTCAGGGTCCTGAACATCAAGGCGCACAATGCGGAACGATGTTGACGTGTTTGAGTTCACTTCCTCATCATTCACCTTTGGATAAAGAGATTTGAGCATAAATCTGGTCACCTTTGGATTCATATGCTTCTCCATGCACTGTCGAAACCTGAGATGTGCAGAACAGTGCAGAACAGTGCACGAGATGCCGAGGTTGAGGCGCTCACTTGTACGTGATGGTCTCACAATCCACCATGTCTCGAGTGTTGCCCTGTGCCGACTGGACTAATATCCCGCAGGTAAAGCGGTGCAAAGAATGGTGGGTCAAGCAAGAGCCGCATACAACTATGAACTGAAAGCCACCGAATGAAACAGCCAGGGTACCAAAAGAGTGAGGAGAACTACTGCACATCTACTGTGTCTATATACATATATAAAACCGTCAAGGTGATTACGCTCACTCAGCTCAGGCACTCACATAGTCTTTGCAGCATTTCATATAGGCTTCGAAGTCTTCTTGACAAGGCATGGGCTCCCTGGCAATGGAATTTGTCTAACTCAGCCTGGCAATCTTCGCCCCTGGCCTTCGAAGAATAATATAGTGTACAAGCAGTGTGAACTATCATGACATACAACCAAAAGCAACCTTCCTCAGGGAAGCAAGGCTTCAAATCAAAAAGAACCACGGAACATAGTGCAACAATCCGAGCAGCATGAAACGACATGCAAGAAACTGTCCTAGGATGCCTCGGCGCCAAGGCTGCCCCCATTGGTAGTCACTGCCAATTTCTCCGTGGCTACTGCCGCTTTCCAATTACGCCTTTCAAGTTGCGCACAAGGCTGTCATCTCTTCTGGAAGTGTTGGCTGTCGAAGCTTCACCACAGTCCGATAGTGAAAAGTAGGCATGCTACAGGATCACTGCTGCTTCCTCTCTGTTCGAAATAAGTCACATGTCGACGGCAATCTGCTGCACAGCCCAAATGCTGAACAACAAGCACATCAAAAGTGAGAAGCCGCCAGGCCGCTGTGACGGCACCTTCTTGGTGTAAGGGCCAAGTGAGGCAAAACATGCTTCGTTTCGCGTTTTGAATTGGTTTTCCTAGTGCTGTGAAGACACTTCTGTCCTTCCAACAAGACCAGTGGTGAACCCGCCAAACACACTACGTACACAAGCAAGCCAGGTTGGTCCCACTTACAGACAAACAGCAGAATCACCCTTGTTGCAATAAGCTGACCGATTTCTCATGGTGTTCTTCGCTCTCACGCAGCCAAACATCCCTTTTCCACATCCAAGCCGCCGTATGCTTCAGCTTTAGTTTCAGCTGAAGGAAAAGCACTGGAGTCTAGGACTTTGTGGCTGTGAAACACAGGCTTTGAAAATTATTTGTTCTTGTTCTATCCTTTTTCTAAATGTAAAGAGACATCAATTTTTCAATCGTTCACATCTATGCAAAAACTTTGGAAGCCCAGGCCGCTAGTATGTTGGAGGCCATCGAAATCTCAGGTCTGTGAGGTGCCCATCTCGACATGCGAGCGCCTCCGCTGGCCGTTCACGAATCGGCTTGTTGGAACAAAATCAACGGTAAACATGGCCTATGCCTTAGCCAGGGGAGCACGTGCCTGCACCCTGGAAACATTTTTTAACATCTGCATACCTTCCACTTGAATTGAGAAAATCATTCCGAACCGCAAAAGCGTACTCAGTTTCGGTTTTCTACGAGCTCTGTGTCATTGCTGATTTGGTTTGTCGTTTTGTGGTATACAATACATGGCAACCACATGTACAGGTTACAAAAAGGTATTTTTCAGCGAGCTATGTCATCATCGTCGGTTTGGTTCGGCGTTCTTTGAAACTCTTTGTTGGAGAAGCCGCAGATTAAGAACCCAAGGGATTTGAACACCTAAGCAACCACTACCATACGGAACAACTTTGAATCTGTTCCAGTTGCGCATTCTTTGGAGATGAGATGGTCCTTCGATTCCTCAGTTTTTCATCTTTTTTGTTTTTCTTTCATCTTTTTCCAAGGTTGATTTTCCCTAGTCCTCCAAAAGACGAACTAGATTTGAGCAACAATGTGATCTACTATGAAAAATGGTCCCTCCCCCAGGCTCCCCTTCAAAAGTATGGTGCAAACATTAGTCCAGCAACCCACGGGGATGGGCGGAACATCAACACACTCTATCAGTCTGTGAGACTCTACTAGTAGCGTCCTTGTTCCTAGTAGTAAGGCCAGGAGCTACTGGCAGCGTCCTTGCTCCTAGTAGCGATGCCCTTTGTTACTAGTAGCGTCCTTGTTCCTAGTAGTATCAGGTTCTTGTGGTCACACTTTGCACTTCTCACATCTCGCATTCCCATCCATCTCTTCAGCGGTCACCGACAAGCACCATTCACATTCACCAAGTCAGCTTACTATGGTTCACCAACCTGGCCAAACATGCATGCTCTGAAACTAAGAGCTTCTATCAAATCAATCTTGCTCCTTTTTGCGAGTTAGCCACGCAACAGCAACACACATATTATGCTGCCAAGGTTGACATTTCCTGAAACAGCGAAGGAATGAATACCAGAAAAACATGACTAAACAAAGCACGCGAAAGCTTCCTCCAAAACCTTGAAGAGGAACACGGGACAAGACGGTAGGACGAGCAAAGGCAGGACTCGATCAAGGCGCGATTGGTTCCAGAAACTGCTGACTTTAAGCAGCCGGAACCTCGAGAAAGAACTAGGTTGGAGGCCATCGCTACTAGAAACAAAGAAAAAAAACAAAGAAGAAAGGTCGCATATAGTGTGCTAGTAGGTTGGAGGGCCATTGCAGCTGGAACCCTGAGAAAGAATTAACATTAAGAGTTTTGTCTTAAGAGAGAGCCTTGACATTTTGGAACACTTGTCAGAAGGAAAGTGTTTACAACAACTATCGGTACAAGAAATTGGACCGAGCCTACCAGTTTGTCCAGTGGGTCCACATAGGCTCAAAGAAATTATAACCAAGCTACTTACGAACTCTGACAAGTGTTTCTTTTTCACTTCTTCGAAAAGAGCTTGGCGCCTTTGCGCTGCACAAACACAATGAAATGCTTGTACATCAATCTTTCAGCACTCAATTTGTTCCACATCGCACATTTCTGGTTAAGTATCTTTGAGCACCTGACCTTCTTCGTCAAGCCAAGCTTCATGTTGACTGCTGTTCCTTACGTTGCACATCAACACTAATGCTTGTGCGTGGAAATCCTGAGGGCATCAAAAAGTCAAAACCGTTTACGCGCCTCAAAGTGGCAGGTAATCTGCTTCTTCCTCAGCTCAAACATTGAGGGCAGTAAACTTCAATCTTAAATAGTAACAATATTTCACAATCGATTAGGTTGGAGACCATCGCTAATAGGTTGGAGGCCATCGCTATTACAAGAAAAGGAGACCTACAACATCCTACAACCACTTCATGTCGCGCCATTAACTCTTGAGCTTCAGACTTACTAAGCAGGTCTTGGATCCTAATTTGCCTCCAACCTACTACTAGCAAACTATTAGACATTTCTTCCTTTTCATGTTTCTTTGTTTCTGAATACGATGGCCTCCAACCTAATAGCAATGGCCTCCAACCTAAGAGCGATGGCCTCCAACCTAATTGTTCCGCAGTTCGTTCCCACAAACAGTTCTGCCGATCTGGTTGATCTCAGAAGGTGGCTTGAGCTCTGCGGCAATCCCATCATGGTCTTTGATGGCGTTTACCTGGTGAAACAAACGAGATAAAATGTGACACGGAGACACAATGATTAGACTCTTGGAGCACATGTGAACTTGCCAAAACTGTTTTTACATGTTTTTGAACATAACCGGAAACAACGTCTGCATGCCTCAGACTCGACCCTTGCGCATGTTGCTGCTCATAATTGAGTTTGTGTGTTGGGTTACACATTTCAACATGGTTTTCGAACTGGCTCGCTTCTTTTCAATCTCTTCGACTGCCCCTAAATGTTCAAACAACCATGTTGCTTATATTGACTCCATGTTCACTCCCCAGCACATAGTCGTTCAGGCCGTCCAGGCGCAGCAATTCGCCCTCACACTATAGTCTTCTGAAAGGTTTTGACATGTTTTGACACTCAGGTTCCGATACTGTTGGAAAACAATGGGCACCTGGAGTTGCATGGGTTAGAGGAAACAGTCTGGTCTACCTGACGGACCTGACGGAAACTCCATAAATGAGACCATGTTTTTCGGCTTTGGAAAGAACAAATCGCCCTTGCAAATTTGATCTTTGAGGGAGCGGGTGCTGAGCGCAACCAACCAAGCCTCCAAAATAACCAAAACAAGCCCGAGCCACTTCCACGTTTGGTAGCGTCTGACTTTGCTTTGCATTTGTGGCCCCTCCCCACAAACCCTCTCCAGCCGCCTGAAGCCAAACTGACCAAATTAAACCACCTGCAAACCAAGCCAGCAAGCCAGACTGAGCTGAGTCAAGCCAGCCAATCCAAACCAACCAAGCCAAGGCAAAACCAAGCCGTTTGGAAAGACAGACCTAGCACACATATTTTTTGACCTGATCAAATCCAAACGTGACATTAATCTATTGTCGAACATGATGAGATAGAAAGTGACTTGATACTGTAAGTGAAAGTGTGTCGTGAAATTGCCGATGATATTGTGGTCAACCGTTGATAGTATATTTTTAACTTGACATGGATGATCCCTGCCCACGCCAACCTGCTTTAATCACATTGGTCACTTAAGGACACTGTTGCCAGAACGATGAAGCAAAAGAACTGGTAGCTGAACACAAAGCCTTGGAGCGAAAACAAACCTTTACAGTATCAACTCCCAAAGCTCAAAAAGTCTATTTGTCAAGTTTTCAAACCGCTCCGAACTTCATCTTTCATCCTTCCAAAGCTCGTCTTCGGGTTGAAACTCAAAACTTTCGCAACTGTAAATCCTAATTTAGACGAATTGAGTCTAAAGACCCCTGGTGGGAAAAGACACAAGACTGGACCGATCCCACCTGCACAAGACGATGGCCTTTTCGAACAGCTCGACTGGGAAAACGTCGATTCCAATCTTCGGCCAAAGAGTTGGCTGCCACCTGAAGACGTAGATCTTTTTAAGATTAACTTAGGAAGGAACTTAGAATTTGGTAGGATTTGTCTAAAGAAGGATTAGGAAGGTAGCTTGCGCTAGGGTGGGAAGAGTTAGTGTAAGTTGGTAGCTCATGGTAATAGCGATGGCCTCCAACCTAATAGCGATGGCATCCAACCTACTAGCGATGGTCTCCAACCTAATAGCGATGGCCTCCAACATATTTCCTCTTGTTCCCAAAGTCTTTGTTTCGGTTTGCAGTGTGGGCAATGTGCAACTTTCAATCAAGAAAGAGTATCGGTATAGGGTTGGCCCCTATTGAGTTTGCAAGGTGTTGATCAATTAAGAAATACTTAAATCCGCTCATGACTAAGTACATGTACGGAAGTTTTTGTCTGCAGTAAGAAAAGGCCGGGTCTGAAACCAAAGGCCTGAAGTTAGTTTGCCGTTCTCAATCTCTATATATAGCAAGCACCTCTAGTGATTCATGCATCGCTTGGACATCTGTAGAAACGCCAACTGGTAATCCATCCTTTTTGGGGGGGTCGTTAACTAAACACGTGTTTGGAAGCTAGACTTTTACGCCTTACTAGTAACAAGGACGCTACTAGGAACAAGTGCATCGCTTCTAGTAACAAGTGCCTTACTAGTAGTAAGAATGTTTGCAGTTATTTGCACAACTCACAAGCTTCTCACGAAGTGCAAATACAAATGAATGCAGTGACAAGGACTGCAGTGGCGCACACTTTTGATGCAGTCTTGAGCCAAATGTACAGGCGGGCGTTTTGCCCAAAATGAGTTCTTCACATGATATGGATAGTCACATGGTGTAAGGTCGTCTTACATGAGGGTTTTGCATGACTTTTGTCAACTCCCCCCTCGGGCTGTACACCGTTGACTCAAATAATCTTTTGGTGTTGCATGCGGAAGTCCAATCAAGAATCCAGTGGTGCGTTGCACCATTCCAAGCAAAGTTGCTCCAACATCTGCGGCCAATCCTTTGGAACAATGGCCTTAGTAAAGCCGTTTGCCCTCTGTTGATCCGTTGGAGTCTTCACAAGGTGCTGATCTTCCCATTGCAGTACCTCATGCACTGATGCAACATTGATGCGATGAACCCGAGGCATATGCCTAAGGCGGGCACTGTACCCTGTTTGCAAAATCGTCACGATAGCTTCGTTGTCTTGGCGATAGAAGGCATGAATAGATTTTTGGGCTAGTTGTTGTAGCACTGTTTGTGCACTTTGCACCTCGCCAAAGACTGCTGTCGCTAGAGCGATCGACTCTGCTTCTGGCGTTGAGCGAGCTGTGCTTGACTGCTTCTTGCTTGTCCAATACAAAGGAAAGTGATGTCTACCAGTTCGGACAGTCATGAGGATGCCTGTCGTGCTACGACTAGTGTGTGGGCAAGCCCCAAAGTCGCTGTCAGTAAACACTTCCAAAGATAAGTCATCTTCAGCAGCATGATCTACACGACCCGTCAACAACACATCTCGGTGATGATGAAGGTAAGAGATACATCTGTGCAACTGCTTGTCTTCAAACCGCGTCCATCTCGTCACAGCTGATGTCAGCCGACCAATGACGAAGCTCAAATCTGGTCGCGACAATCGTGACAACCAGAGAGCGCGCATGAGGATGCGCGATGCGACATGGCTCAGGTTCCCTACCACTTCTAAGTCCTGGTCAGACAATGATGACTCGGACAGACACGGAGTGGAAACATACTTAAGGGAAGATACAGACATACCTGCCAATTCACAGTAGGTGTTTACAACCTGGTCAACATAAGTTGTCATATCGAAGGACATGACTGACTCTTGGACAGACCTGGATGCAAAGTGCTTACGGCCTAAGATCAGCAGGCCTGATCGCGCATCAATCTCCTGCGGCGCTTCCATTTTGACTTCCTTTGATAAGGCGGACCAAAAACTTGTATGACAGCACTCATGACCACTCAAGGTTAGATCGTCCACATACACGTTCAAGATCAATACAAATTCTTGATCAACTGTTCCGCCGTGATGGGATGGATTCCATCGAAAAATGAAATTACTGGGATAAACTTCTAGTTCAATGCCGCCAAGCATTCTCAGGCATGAGCTGAGGTGATCCTGCCACCATCGGCCAGCCATGGGACGGCCGTATAGCGACTTCGCAAGTCGCACCACGACCTTTTGGCCCGTTTCAAACTTCTCATACCAAGAGGGCAACCACAATTCCTCCGGAATGATGACATAGGTGTGGTCATTTTCATCCAGCCAACTCTGAAGAAATGCCTGCACAGCATCACTGCATGTCGTCTTGTGATGCTGAAGCATCCCAAACCACAAGGTTATCTGCAATGCGATGATCATGGTTGGTGTAGTTGCAGTCTCCTCAAACAGAAGGACGTTGCCGTCACTATCCCTGATTCGGTCACCACGATAGACTATTCTCCCTTTATACTTCCATCGTTCAGGCTCCAGCTCATAATGTTTTATGCCGCACAAGGTAAGGAGATCTGCCACACAGATTGGAGTTTGGGTTTGACGAGCCCATCGGCGGAGATTGACCAATGTATCCACAGAATCATCATCCCATGTCTGATTCTGGCGTAGCCCTTGCGCTTCTGCTCGTACAGCTTGTACCCCTTTCTCATCATGTAACCACTGAGAGCGTGACAAGTTCAGGGTAACAAGAGCTGAGCCTAGAGAAAGATTAGGCAAAAATTGAAACCACTTTTGGGGATACCATGCTTGCATGATCGCCTCAGCAAATTCATTGGTGTAGAAAGCAGACAATGCTGCGTTGGCCCCCTGGGTGTTGGTTCATGGACATGGTTTCCTGAATATTGATGTTGGCTGAGGATTTGGATTAATCGAAGATCAGTGGTAGCTACACACCACGGTTTCTTCAATAAATGCCCCCCTTTTCCCCTGAGATTGAAAGAACATCCATCAAACAAAACATACCGCAGGTGAAGCCGTTCACTGAACTCTTTCCATTCCGGCAGATCCCATAGACCAGAAGATTTCGGCCATTCAATGGCTATTCTGCCGTGGTTCGCATGCGCAATCTCCAGAAACTGCATAGCCCGTCCCAACATGAACCGAGAAAGCTTCCTGTTCTTTTCAAGAATTCGTTTGTACTTTGGGCCATGCAGCGACAGATTCAAGTGTTGCCAGGGACTGAAGAAAGTGCATGTGAGAGACAGCCAGACGTCTGCACCTGGAGTTGCCTGCAATTGACCGCAAGCTTGCAAGACATCTTCTGCTTTGCTCAAATCCAATGTGTTTCGGCCTAGGCGACAAGAACTGACACCAATGCCCTGCGCGATGTGACTGATGACAGACTGTTCAGAACATGCATACTCACAAAAAGGGTGTCTTTACCACTCATACTATGCAGCCTTCTATACCTAGTCCTGCTCTCACTCATGTCAACAAATTCTTGATTGATCTGCTGGTCAGCCTTGGCAATTAGTGCAGTCTCCGGGTGTTCTGGATCAATACCCGCACTGAACGGCAAATCAAACACATGATCTCTGTCATGCACCCCTTCACCTGAAACACGCTCAGATGCTGCAGCTGTGGCACTGGTCAAATCATCCACAAGAGGCTCATGGCGTGACTCCGGCTTGGGAGTCGCTGGAGCTGGTGTTGTGGGCGCCAAAACCGACGCAGTCGGAGTGCCAGGTGATTGTTTGCTTTTGGGAAGTTTGGGGGATGTGATCTTATCAGCCCTTACTAGACCGTCAAATCGAGCTTTGCATGCCGAGGTATGTGCGCCTTGCAAACGTGAACACGCTCTGCACGATGGAGTTGCTCCATACTTGATGATTCTATCCATGGTGATGTACTCATGACGTTTCACTGGCGGCACGTCCCGCGGCAAATCACTGAACGGCACCTCTATAACCGCAACATCTTCTGGCTTGGGATCCGAAAATGAAGCCAATGCCTGATCAGCTGCAACCTTCAAAGGCAAGATGGGCAAACCTTCTGGCACAAACACTTCTTCACATGGAATTGCTAGGGCAAATGCATATCCAGGAGTTCCATCCTTCACAGACTTGTAGTCAAGAGCATAGTAAACGCCCTTGTGTGACTTGGGGCCCGAGTCGAACCTCCAGCCAGCGAAAAGAGCTGGTGAGGCAGCCGTCTCAAACTTGTGTCTTGAGCCCCTGTCCTTACGCACGTGAATGAGCTGACCAAGCAAAAGTTCACGACCTTCAAACTTCTTTCCGGTCGCCAATTCAAACCTGTTGCAAGCTTTCCCTTCAATGCGCACAGGATGGTGCATGTTCATGGTAATGGCTGCGTATGTCACAGCATGCCTCCAAAGATCACGAACAATGTGAAATCCTGCTTCAAGCTGAACAGCTCGGGCGATTTCCTCCAAGGTCCTGATCTCACGCTCTAGAACAGCATTATGGGGAAATCTTCTTGCCAACGTGGGCTCATGGATGAAACCAAGTGTGGCACATGAGGCCTGAAACTCCGGAGCATTGTCGGTCTTGCACGTGATCATTGGCGTTGAATGATATGAAGGGCCCAAAAATGCAAGAAGGTTCCGAGATACAGTCTCTGCGTCATGCTTCATGCAAGGATATGCCACGATCAAGCCTGAGTATTCATCTCTGATGACTTGAACATATGCGTCCTTTACCCCATCACTTGATTTCACCACAACAATGAAATCGGAGGCTAACCTTTCTCCAAATGCACTACAAGGCTCCAAATCCCCCCTGTCCAGAAGGGGCTGATGCCGCAGGCTGGAGGTCTTCTTTTTAAACATTCGAGACCTCTGACACACCTCGCAATATGGATTCTTTGGGATGTGGCACATTCGGTGTTTGATTGTTAAGGATTCCCGCAAAAGTTCATCAACAGGTCCCTCAACACTGTCTTCCAACAGATCTGGCTGAAGTGGTTCGACGGGCACTTCAACCGCGACCTCTGGGTCTTTGACTGACGAAGCGGCTGTCCCATCCCCACCTGCAGAATCTTCTCTTGCAACTGGCAT